TGGAGCGTTTAGGTGTTCTCTTTCTTTGGATTTCAATGTTTAAACTTATTTATCTTTACTTTGTGCGTATGAGGAACTAAACCCCCCCTTGGTTAGGAGGGATTCGAAACCATGTTTATGCTTGCTATATGATTTGATTACTTCTAATTGCGTTTCATAAGTTGTGAATTCAATTTACTTATCTATATGAATTAAAACTGATTTGTGTGTGTTGGTTGAGAGTGCACGCTTAATTTTCATGCATAAGTTTGATGCTAGGATATAAGGGAATTTCATCTAATCGTTATGAACTTATAGTCGAAAGTAGTAAAGGTTGTTGATAACAATCGTGTTAAGTAAATTCTTGGCATAAGTTTCATGCAATTCATAGTAACAAGTGTCTTGCCAATGCTTATGGTTTTCATAGAACTTAATGATCTTTGCTTGTATCTTTGTTATGCAATTCATGCAGGGAACTTGTGAGGAATGCTTTGGGTTGTCGTATGCAATTCATCCAATTCGATAACTTTAGGAAAATCTAAGGGTTAATTAGTGCAATTCACAGTTAATCTGGGGCGTTGGGAATTCATGGTTGATTGAGAAGCAATTGGAAATCAGTTTGTATGCAAGTGTGACATGTGTGGAGAAGAACCCCTTAGCTAGCTTTCCATCCATTCACTTTTATCAAATTCATTTTAGAATCTGTTCAATTTACAAAGTTTTGTTTTTGTTTTCAATTTTTGTCAAAACCAAATCCCCATTTATTTTGAAGTATTAGATTAGTTAGAAATCAATTTAGTTTGTGTTTTTAAGTGTCTTGAGTCAAGTTACAACCTATTTTCGTCCAAATTGTGTTTTGTGTTCAAAACTGCCCAAAAAGTGTTTTTAAGGCAGTTTTGAGTGTTTCTGGGCTGTTTTGAGTCTTTTGGTTTGTTTTAGTGTTTTAAAGTTTAGTTTTGCATTCTTTGAATCTAGTTTAGTGTTTTAAACTTTGTTTTTACGTTTTGAGTCAATTTTCAAGTGATTTAGCAATCCCTCCTAATTCCCGACCTAGAACGATCCCTATTTACATACTTTGCTACAATTGATAAAAAGAGGGTTTAATTTGTGTGCTTATGTATTTCGCATAAAAAATCTAGGCACATGCCATAGTGATTAAGATATGTTACAGTTAATGAGGAGGAATTAAGAAATTTAAATAGAGAATCGTGATTTAAACTTTGCTAAATAAAGCGGGAGTTTATTTTGGGCCTATCATCAACATTATTCCCCATAAACAAAATAAATATTTTCAGGGGCGGGGTGTTACACGCACCCAACTCGGTTTTGAAACCGGTGGAATTTCGGCAGTTCTGAGCCGTTTTTCAGGCGAATTTCATCCCATTTCCACTTGCAATCATCACCATACCTCTTCCCTTTCATTCTTCTATCAAGATTCGATGGAAATTGGGTCAAATCTGTGACATTTGGTGATGGTGACACTGACAGGTCTTGTGTTGATTCTCCCATTTCTAAAGCAATCTCTTCCAATTGTCACCACCAATAGACTTCCCTTGAGGCCTAGAACAATGCCTAATCATTGGTTGGAGCATCAGAGTCGAAAGTCGAATTGGGGACAAATCAAGAACACCCATTTCTAAGGTTCCCAATGGATTCGAGGCAAATTGGAGTCTTTTCGGGCCAAATTGGCCTTGGTCACAGGTATGAAAGTTACTCTACTAATTGAGATCTTCATTCTTGTAATTTTTGGCAATTTTTAGAAATAGTTGAGTTTTCAGGCGAGCGAGGGCGGCCGACCGCCACCCGCGCGGCAGCTGGTGCGGCGGCGCATGGCCAGGGGGCCGTCGATGTTATTCTTAGGATAACTAGATGCTTTGAGTTCAGTTTTGGTAATTGTATGACGTAGGTTGATTGTTAGAATCTAAATTCTCTACGTTACGTTAATAGGTCATTATATGAATCGATGATCTGACCGTTGGATTGTCACCAAACTTTAATATGTTATAGCATGTAATATTTGAGAACCATAGAAACTTACAGATTGGGAATCTGACGTATGGATCTTCCTAAATTGGATTTGTAATTCATAAAATAAAATGTTGACTGCCACTTGATTTTGGGCAATTGGCGAAGATCCGACCGTTGGATCATAATGAAACCTTAGGATGTTGTTCTAGAAGTTTAATGTGAGTCTTTGGAAGCAACGGATCAGAAATCCGTGATGCAGATCTTCCGAATTGAATTACGTAGGGATGCGTTTTATGTAAATTATGTATGTTATCGGTCAGAACTCTAAGATGTGATTTGATAATTGGTCATAGGCGACAATGGTTCGTGATGTCTCGACATGGGTGCTAGGGAGTCGTGGCATGGACCTCAGATGAGTGGGTCTTTTCCTTTCTATCGTATATTATATATATATATATATATATATATATATATATATATATATATGATTGACAATTCCACAAATGGTCAGAAATTGATTATTGCATATAATTACTGTTAATGCTTTGAAGTGCTAATGCGAACTACGAATGGCTTGATCACTGATTAGGGTACGTAGACAGTCTAACGAAACGTTAGATGCAGCCATATCATAAATGAGACTAAATAATTAAGACAATAGCCTTGTTTGAGAAATTGAGCAATATGAAGGAATCTGGTGAAAATGTGAGATTTAACCTTACGTCTTGGTGATTAAATGTTGATTATAAATCAACGTGTGAAGAAACGAGAAATTGTGGTTTTACGTTTTATAAATGCCATGCCATAATTAGTTTATATTTTAGTATGTAATTCGGTACAAATCCGCATAGTGTTGTACACAATATGGAGGTCAAGGTGGGTATATAATGTCGATATGATTGAATAATAATTATTGATGAATGGACGTGAGTGGAGCTCATAAACCTGCACCCTGGTGTTAGTGCTCCCGCCCGTGGCCAAGGCATAGTCCTTCACGTGATGTTCACCTCCAGCACCTTATGCTCACCTTGGATTTAAGGTAGGTGCACATGCCTGTCGTATAGACCACTATAGGTGGTTCCGACTCGTAGGTGACCCGCGATTATTCGCACAGTCTTCACGTGATCGTAGCACTTGAGCATATTTATTTACACTCAGTCCTATTGTACAGACCACCTTAGGTGGTTTCGACTCGTGTGCAGGTATACTTAATGAGATATGGATAAGTCGTACAGGTCACTATAGGTGACTCCCGACTTATGAGCTAGCATATGTTATGAGATATGGATAAGTTGTACATGTCACTATAGGTGACTCCCGACTTATGAGCTAGTATATATGATGAGATATGGATAAGTCGTACATGTCACTATAGGTGACTTCCGACTTATGAGTTAGCATATGTGATGAGATATGGATAAGTCGTACAGGTCATTAGAGGTGACTCTCGACTAATGAGCTAGCATATGTGATGAGATATGGATAAGTCATACAGGTCACTAGAGATGATTCCCGACTAATGAGCTAGCATATGTGATGAGATATGGATAAATCGTACAGGTCAATAGAGGTGACTCCCGACTTATGAGCTAGCATATGTGATGAGATATGGATAAGTCGTACAGGTCACTATAGGTGACTCCAACTTGCGTGCTAGTATGAGTTATTAATCACATGATTATTGATATTGCTGATGAGATGCTGTGTTGTGGTATATTTATGGTTTACTGTTGATATACTTTTGGTTTCACATTGATACGTGGTATGATTTTCTGGAAACTATACAGTTGTTGCAGTGAGGGGTTATAATGCTTTAGATGGTTTCTATTAAAATTTCATTTCTAGGGCCACTCACCCTTGTTTTGTTTTCACCCTCCAGGTTTTATTAGCTGAGCTTTTTTATCGTCGAAGATTCGTGGCAAGTCTTGGTATTAGAGATTACCTTCGATGTTATAATTTTCAATCCACTCTACTGTACTTTACTTATGTTCTGACGTCACGTGTCAAAAAGGTTCATTTCCGCTCATAGCGCACTCTTGTATTTAGGCACTCTTAGGTTTAAATTTATTCACATTTTTCCACATCATCATACTTTATGGTTTCGTCACCCTCCAGGTGTCGGCCAGCACAGCTCAATCTAGAGTCCTAGTGGACATTCCGGGTCGGGGTGTGTCACGAACCCTGTCGGCTCTCTAATCTAATATCTTATTTAACAAATCTATTGTTTGATTAAAAAAAAAATATATCGTACTGTACTCTTTATGTATATTTTTAGAAATAAAGAAAGTAGAATGACATTTTGTTAGATAACAATTCAATTTTTATCATGTTATTTTGCAATATTATTTTTCTTTCGAAGATGCCGCTATTTGGTTCCCATCAACGAGAACCATTAATTGGCGACCACAAAGACAAGAGCTAGTCAAATTAACAAAATAAAATAAAAGATGAAAGTGGAGTTGAGATGTCCATATATTTTCAGCACCTCCTTTATACATGTATTCTTGCATTGTTTATTATATGGAAAAATTTGAATCAAAGCTCGAATACGACCCTTAAGAGTTGCTTGACCCACAAGCACACCACCATACTTTTTGGATAACAACTCCTCTTAATATAATTACTCTCTTTTTAGTTTCTTTGTTTTTGGTGTTCGTTGAGAAATCAACCACAAGCAGATAACAGAGGTTCTTAAAACACATAACAGTTCGTGTGTGATTAATTGTAGCTCTTTCATATCGGATGAAACATGAATGTGGGTCTCACACGTGGGCCCCAGCTTGGTGTGAGAGAACTGCATAATAGAGCGATCACACTTAAGACGTTCAACTAGATTTGAATTTATCGCACGGGTCTAGCATGTTGATTCCATTGGTCTCTAATAGAGAAGAGGGATTCTATTGTATAACCAGAGTATTAATCCTTGTTGCAGGCTCAGAAAGAGAGAAGGCGATATATCTCCAGTCATACTCAAGGTTTTGGTCAGATAAAAAAGCGGTAAGTAAATGTGATACAAATAACACTCGTTCAAAGGGAAATGAGTCATGCACAGATAAATTTATGATAGCTCTAATAACCTTGACTTTCTCACATCATGTAGCTATACTTGTAGTCCAAAAATTCGTTATTTCATATCTGAATTGGCTGAATTATTTGACATAAATGTTAATTATACAAGATAAGTCTTGCTTGGGGTCTCACCTTATCTGTCAGCTAATCATTCAATTAACAGTGGCAGCTAATTAATTCTTCATTCTAGCAAGACTCAGCCCTTGTTGCCAATGCTTCGCTTCTTGATCTCTTTATTATGTTCCATTACTGCGTCATAAACGTCAAGTTTGCTCGCTTCTGCAATTATTTCACAAGCTCTTCCACCTGGCTCCTGAATTCACTAGTTTGAGATAAGCCGTCTTGAAATCATTGAAGAACGTATTCTGGTCCTCGGCATACTTTGTGATCCAGCTGCGCAGGAAGCAAGATTCTCTTCAGTTGGATATGAATAAGAAACAGATACTACACGTACATAAACATAGAGCATAGGCTACTCTGTCATTTTTCTAAGCTGATGGCTAAGTATGCAACAGAATTATATATCTATTTTCTTCCGGAAAAGGGTGAAAGTAGTCCAGGTTTAACCAGTGGGAAATCAGACGTAGCATGAATCAAATAAAATGCACATGGTATTTCAGAAACGTATGTGTTTTGCTTGCATGGATCAGGAAATTTCTAATAACTTTCTGATCGCTGGAGCATGACATATCAAGCAGTTATGCAAGATATGTTAGATCATAGTAATACGGAAGTAGGCCATCGTTCCAAAACATTCGCAATTGTTGCGTCAACCCACTGTGACAAAACCTTTAATTCCTCTCCTAGTGTAGAATATTAAGCAGAAATATCAACTCTTGCATATGGAAATTGTGAATGATCACAATTATCCCAACTACTGTGAGGAGCTTGTGGATTTATTTTCATTGAATTTAGATTTTTCTGTTTTAAATAATGGCTCTTTTTTTTTTCTTTGAAGTCTTCTGACCAGATAATATTCATTTTAATACGTGTATGAGTAACTGGGTCGAGTCTTCAACTGGCAGAAAAAAAGTGCAGATTAAAGTTTTTGAAAGGAAATAGACCTTAAGCATTCATCATCCTTGGCAAGTGCACGGTCTGAGGGAAGGCCAATCATGCTACCTGCATGCAAAGAACAGAATCAGGAATCGAACAACAAAAATTGATATTTTGACAAGAGAAAATAATTGTCTATCAAGTCATGGATTTTCAAAGCCGTGTGTATAAGTCACGATACTTTTTTTCCATGCTATCGTTGATATCATGATAGAAAAAACAATGGCTTTGTTAACCAAGTAATTGATCAATCATACTTGTGCATCAAAATGAAAAAAAATAATCTCATTGAAGATTAAACAGAAATTTGAAAGTTCTCTCACTCTCATTACTCCGTTGTATTCCTATGTTTCTATTGTTGCTCAGTTATCGTGTTGCAACACAAATTCCCCAATAGTGGGAGCTTGAGCTGAGTTTCTTTTAGGCCTCGTTTATTATGCACCTTATATCCATGTTACTGTTATTTTACCTGAAGATGGTTTGTCAAGCAGAATTTTGAAGTATGTATTGTCGAAAACAGTTGAGTTCCCGAAACCTTTATTTCCAATAGTATGAGCTCCTGAAAGAGCAACAAGTTCCTGAGTTCTGAAAAAAAATATAAAAGGTCATGTTTCCCTTCAACTCCGTACGTACCAAGGCAAGTCAAGGATAATAAAGTTTGATAAAGTGGTTTACTTATAACCATATAACAAGAACAGAAATCAATTAAATGCAGAAACTAAGTAAATCTATCAACAAAATGTCCATTGATATCTCAAGGACTATAATCTTCATGCATATCTGGTTTATTTTGAATACAACGAAACAACCACACCTCGTCCACCAAATGCAAAGGTTTTAACATATACGAACTTACGACAAGCCTTTTGTTTGAAAGCTTTGCTTCAGACCAAAAGCATCCAGAGTTTCTTCAGGCAGTTTTCCTTCAGGATCAGGCTCCTGATCCCAGTGCACAAGGCTCCTGCTTTACGCAGGGTCTGGGAGAGGTGAATGTCGGCTAGCCTGACCCCCATTTATGGAGAGGCTGCTCCCAAGTCTCGAACCCGAGACCTACCGCTCATGGGCGAAGGCACTTGCCATCGCACCAAGTGCGATCTCTCAGGATCAGGCTCCCTGATGATAAAATAAATAAAAAACAAGAAAAAGATGAGAGATAGAGAGAAGTAGCTATTCACGACATCATTTCTTAAAATAGGAATTACCAGCTTTTGGTAGCATTAGATTGATGTTCCCACAAGAATTAGAAACTCTTTTTTTTTTTTCTTTTTCTTTCTCCTTATAGTGTTTGCGTTAACACTAGCAAGATTCAAGCATGATGTTGGCTTTTTCCCCTTGATGCATCTTACTTTGCATCTAGTCTGCCCAACGGGACTTGGATTGTTGGACCTCCACATACTGAAACTGCTTCTGCTCCAGCCACAGCAATCATGTCTGCCCAGGACACTAGTTTTGGAAACACCCACATGTTAGCTCAGAACCAAAACACCGGCACTACTGAAACCTAGACAAGCGTATCTAGTAGATGGAAAACCTGGGTTGACTGCATCCACCTCACTCTTTGCTTTCTCTAGAATCTACCAACAATTCAATCCACCGAGGAGTTAGCTGGTAGACGATCATATAAAATAATTTGTTTACTCAATCACTATGCAAAAGATTAAAAATTGGGAACTCGATGGAAACCAAAAGATTGAATCAGCACACATCTATATATAAAGTCAAGAAGGGGCATGCCTTGAAAGGACTTTTAAGACCTTTGTTTTCTGGTCTATCTGTTGGCGTGAGTCAATGCTATATTTCAGGAATTATATGTGTATTATTTGGGTATGTAATCATGTGATTAATATCCTATAGAATTAGGATTCTAGTTTCCTGATTTATAGGACCTCTTGTACAACTATATATATTCCTTTGAGAGAGAAGAATAAGATATACATGATTAAACCCTAAACAAATACTTTTATCTTGGCATCAGAGCAGGTTTCGGCCTGTCTCTTCCCAAACCCTAAAACAAGTGAAACCCAAGCCGTGCATTCTTCAAAGATTGCATAAGAAAAAAACAAATCCTGGTGTTCTTAAAATTTGAACCCAGAAACTAAACAAAATCCTCGTGGCTTTGTAATCATCCAAGTTACATCAAAATTTAATCTTGCCAAATCACGATCAACCTGGTGTGATGGCAGAAGATAGAAAGACTCGAGAGTTGGTTACCATCCAACCTATGTCCAGTTCGATGGAGTCCACCAACATCAGCGGCATACCATTTGGATTTCGGATGAGTGATACGAACTTCGAAGTTGGGTCGAAGATGAAAAAGATTCATGCTTCCGGACTTGGCGATCTTGGCTACCTCACCGGGAAAATTTCAATGGTCGATGAAGACAGCATGGCTGCTATAGCAGCAAGTTAGCCTAAAGTAGGAACTGGCGTAACTGTTGTTGCAGCAAGTCGATTTGGGCCCAGGGGTAGCACAGCTTCATATCATGACTTGGAGCACAGTAAGGATGCAGCAGCCAGAGATAAGGACTTTGGTCCAATGTTGTCCCTAATTGAACTAATTTCAATGATTGACGACTCTGAAGATTCAGGTAAAATGGGTACTGCTTTAATGGCATCCACCACGCGCGACTCTGGTTGGATAATAGATTCTGGGGCTACTGACCATATGACATACGATGCATCCTTGTTTCACCACATGACCTCCCCGCCCAAGGAGAATGTCATCACAGCTAACGGTGATGTGGCTCTTATTATGGGAGCGGGTTCTATTTCTCTTACTCCATCTCTATCTCTGCATAACACACTACTTGTTCCATCATTATCAAATCATTTACTTTCAGTTGGTCAAGTCACCGAACCGTTAGAATGCGTTGTGCAAATGTTTCCTATCTTTTGCCTTCTTCAGGATATACAAACACGGGCAATCATTGGACATGGTACTAAGAGGAGAGGGTTATACTACGTGGATGATGTGATCGCAAGCCGAGTAAATCAAGTCCGTAGTGGTCACAGTAATAAGATCAAGACAATTTGGTTATGGCATCGTCGACTAGGGCATGCTTCTTTTGGTTATTTGAAAAAATTGCTTCCATCTTTATTTAGCGGCGTTTCAGACTCTGATCTTCAATGTAATGATTGCATTATGGCAAAAAGTCATCGTGCTTCTTATCATTTGAGTTTCAGTAAAAGAACGGTACCGTTTGAGTTAGTTCACTCCGATGTGTGGGGTCCTTCCCCAATAGCTACCAAACATGGAATTCGTTGGTTCGTTATTTTTATGGATGATTGCACGAGAATGACATAGCTTTATACAATGAAACATAAAGTGATGTGGGTCAAATTTTTCAACAGTTCTACCGGATGATAAGAAATCAATATTCTTTTCCGCTTAAGGTTCTCAGGTCTGATGATGGTGGAGAATACCTTAATTCTGAACTTTCTCAGTTTTTCCAGGAACACGGCATCCTTCATGAAACTACCTCAAACTTCACAACAAAATGGTGTGGCTGAGTGCAAGAATCGCCATATCTTGGAGACCACTCGCGCCCTTCTCATTGGCGCTCACGCACCTCATTCTTATTGGGCAGATGCTGTTACCTATTTCGTTTATCTCATGAACCGAATGCCTTCCCAAGTCCTTAATTTCTACACCCCGATGGAAGCCTTTGTGGACCATGTCACTTTACCGTCCTCACTTCAGTTATCGCCACGCATATTTGGATGTGTGGTCTATGTGCATCTTCACAAAAACCAACGTAGTAAATTGGATCCGTGTGCCGTTCATTGTGTATTTTTGGGATTTAATGGCCAACAAAAGGGATACCGATGCTATCACCCATCAACTCGACATCTATATGTCACTATGGATGTCACATTTTATGAGAATGAAATGTTTTTCAGTGATCAAACCTCCTCTACTCTTTAGGGGAGATGACTACAAGTGAAGATTACAGTTGGTTTGATATCATCCCTACTTGGCAAGACAGTGGAAGCAAACCGAATTTGGGTGCAAATAACGATATGGAATTTGGGGACTTACCAGATGCAGCGACAAAGGAGCAGCAGCCCATTGATGCCGAGCTGACTAGGTTTGAGATAGATGGGTCGAATGGAATTGTTGCTGGGGAAAATGGGCCACGGTAACAGCAGGCCATTGACCAACAGCAGTCCACTGTTGGACCATGGCTACAACATGCTACTGACCAACAGCAGCCCACTGATTATAGTGGCAAGTCACGGCAGGAGCAACCCTTTGATAAGTCATGGCAGGAGCAGCCCACTGACGCGACTACTGGGTCGGAAACAATCACATTAGATAATAACCCTCATTCTCCACTTGTAGACGCCCATGTCCTTGAGGAAATCCATGAGGTACGTTCATCTCAATCTAATGAGACTCATAATTTGGCTACATATGTATTACCTCCTAGAGAAAATCGTGGGAAACCACCTGACATGTTTTCTCCGAATGGAAAAGTAAGATATGCAATTGCACAATACATGTCTACTCATCAACTATCACCCAAGTACCAAGCCTTGGTGAATAAAATGGAAGGAATTAAGATACCAACAAAAGTAGAAGAGGCCCTGCGAGACCCTCAATGGACAGAAGCCATGGAGGTAGAAATGGAAGCTTTGCAAAAAAATGGAACATGGAATGTGGTGTCACTACCACAAGGGAAGAGACCGGTGTGATGTAAATGGGTGTTCACCATCAAACACAAAGCAGATGGAACCATAGACAGATACAAGGTAAGATTGGTAGTTAAAGGGTACACACAGACGTTTGAGGTTGATTATCAAGAAACTTTTGCTCCTGTTGCAAAAATGAATAAAATTCGTGTTCTGTTGTCCTTGGCTGCTAACTTTGATTGGCATTTGAAACAATTCGACGTGAAAAATGCTTTCTTGTATGGAGACCTGGAAGAAGAAGTGTACATGGATTTTCCACCTGGGTACGAAGTGCCAAATGGAGATGGCAAAGTGTGTAGACTTCGGAAGGCCCTTTATGGACTTAAACAATCACCTAGGGCGTGGTTTGGAAGATTCACCGATGCAATGAAGAAATATGGCTACCCACAAAGGAATGCAGATCATACTTTGTTTATCCAACGGAAGGGGAGTAAAGTCACCTTATTAATAATCTATGTGGACGATATGGTGGTTACAGGTGATGATACTGAGGAGATGAAAGAATTACAAGAGCATCTCTCTTCAGAATTTGAGATGAAAGATCTAGGTGGCTTGAAGTATTTTTTGGGAATTGAAGTCGCTCATTCTCGTGATGGTATTTACTTGTCTCAACGAAAGTATGTGCTGGATCTTTTGACTGAAACTGGGATGTTGGCATGTAAGCTAGCAGAAACCCCCATCGTATAGAATCATCATCTAGTAATTTATCAGGATCAAATTTCTACGAATAAAGAGAGGTACCAGAGGTTAGTAGGAAGATTGATTTATTTATCGCTTACAAGACCATATATTGCATATGCTGTTAGTGTTGTAAGCCAGTTTATGCACTCTCCTAGTGAGGATCATATGGTAGCGGTAATGCGGATACTTAGTTATTTGAAAGGTGCACTTGGAAAAGGATTGATTTTCAGAAAACATGGGCATTTGGAGGTAAAAGGATACACCGATGCTGATTGGGCTGGGAACATCACTGATAGACGCTCTACATCAGGGTACTTCACATTCGTTGGAGGAAATCTTGTGACTTGGAGGAGCAAGAAACAGAATGTGGTTGCTAGGTCCACAGCAGAGGCCGAATACTGTGGCATGGCACATGGGATTTGTGAGTTATTATGGCTCAAAATTCTTCTCACAGAGATAAGATTCAAGCCACAGGGACCTATGTCGTTGTAGTGTGATAATCAAGCTGCTAGGGAGATAGCTAATAATCCTGTTCAGCATGACCGTACCAAGCATGTGGAGGTGGATAGGCATTTTATCAAGGAAAAGCTAGATGTCAAGTTGATTGACATTCCATATATGAGGTCAGATGAGCAGTTAGCTGATATGTTAACCCATGCAGTGGCTGCAAGGGTGTTTCAAGACTCACTTGTCAAGTTGGGCTTGAGAGATATCTACGCACCAACTTGAGGGGGAGTGTTGGCGTGAGTCAATGCTATATTTCAGGAATTATATGTGTATTATTTGGGTACGTAATCGTGTGATTAATATCCTATAGAATTGGGATTCTAGTTTCCTGATTTATAGGACCTCTTGTACAACTATATATATTCATCTGAGAGAGAAGAATAAGATATACATGATTAAACCCTAAACACATACTTTTATCTCTATCAAGTTCATAAACGATAGAACCATCCATACCACCTGCAAAGTTAACAACAGCCATGAAGACGCATTACAGTAATAGTAGAGCACTTGTAATTCCTCATTTGAAAGAAATTTGGACAATATATCCGTTGTTTCAATGCGAAACATATCAATGGCAAAATGATTGTACCATCAACCACTCGTGCATCCCCGATCCACAAGACCAAAGTGGGTATTGCAGGAAGTGTAGGAATCTTAACTCCAGTTGATGTTACTCCAACTTAAAAAAGCAATGAACTAGCAAGGTCAACGCATATAGATATCTGCACCTAAATTATCATCAATTTGAAAGGTCCCGGCATCATGGAACACCAAACGAAGCACGTCGGCGGCCTTACCCTTCGTCACCACCTTCTTGATCTCCTTCTTCATAAGCTCATATTCCCTTCCATCCGACCTTCCAAATGCCACAGACAAAACCCAGTAATTACATTACACAAAATTAAATCTCTTAAAACACGAAAAGATCAGAGATTTTGTTCACTTCTCCAACCAACCAAACAGATAATTTAGGGTTATGTTAGCTTTTACCTGAAGTGGCTGCACTGACGGCGTGGAGAGGATTGGCGCGAAAATTCACCGTTGAGGGGGATTTGGCAGGAAAGATAAAGTTGAACGGGAATACGGTGGAGGAAGATGCGGGAGAGATGGACGTGCTTAAGGAGCAAAGGAGGAAGGCGGTGGAGGTAGTTGGCGCCATATCTAATGGATGGTTGAGGTAATGAGAAAGGTGATGGATTGTCTCCTCTTTCCATACCCTCTCCATTCCTTCCGTTTTATGCGATCACAGTTAAGCTAGGTCAACATTTTATATTAATTTTTTTATAAAAATAATAAGACAAAAAGCAAATGTTGACGTGGCTTAACCGTGACTACACAAAACATGAGAGTATGAGGAGGGTATGGAGAGGTGAGGGCATACAATCCATTTCCAATGAGAAATGGGTTTGTTGTCATTTCAAGAAGAGAGATATATGTAGGAAAAAGGGCCTCATCCCATATGGTCGAGTCCATGGGAAATCCTACACCCAATCTATTCAAAAGGCATCTGTCAACTCAATCCAAACTTAGGATCTCTTATGGACACCCAATTCAAATTTGGGATCTTTTCCAACATTAAGAAGGGATGTATCGTTCATTGAAGAGTAAGGCAATTCAACATGGAACTCCCTTTGTAATGTTAGGAAGAAAAGTATTATTAGACAAGTTAACTTATGACGTGATAAATTTTGTTCAAAGCCACCAAAGCAATGGAGCAATGGTTTAGCTCTGGAGCTTATCAACATGTAAGTAGTGATAAAGTTTGTATTTTGGTGTGTTTTGTCATTGTTTTGGTTAGATTTCTTAGGGACTCGAAATGACAGAATGAATAAGGAATGTTGCAGGTATTTGACAGCTACAAGGCCGTGCCATTGCATCAGCTATAATTTCATTTATATAGGAGTGTTTGTAGGGTTTTGGTACATTGCCAACACACAAGCCTCTCTCTAAATTATGCTAAAGGATAAACATGTACTATGAAATTCACCTACTCTACTCCAGATTTAATCCTAACCCTTCATTGGGGTTTTAAGTGATCTAATCTGGAGTGTATACTTGTCACTAACTTACACACACAAACTTTAAATAGAAACTAGCCGTTAACTCTAAAACTCTTTGTTTCTTCTTTCTTCTTCAACTTAGCAGCAAACTATCCGTTGGAGCTTCACTTGCTTCTTTCGATCCTTAGAACTAGAAGCAATTTAGGTTCCAACACCCCCTCTAAATTGGTTATGGTTGTCACTCCAAGCACTCCCCTCAGGTAATTGAATCTATCCTTTGAAAGAGCTTTTGTGAAAATGTATGCGATATGTTCTTCTATCTTGCAATAGTGTAACTTGATTGTGTTCTCTTGCAATGCTTCTCTGATGAAATGATATCTCATTTTTATGTGCTTTGTTCTATGATGAAAAACTGGGTTTTTTGTCATGGCGATTGCAGAGGTGTTGTCACACAGAAGTGGTGTGGCATCAATTTGCAATTCACCAAAGTCCTTGAGTATGAATCTCAGCCAGATGGCTTGAGCTATTGCCTCTGAGGCACTCACATACTCTGCCTTAGCTGTGGACAGTGCAACACTTTTTTGTTTCACTGATGCCCAAGAGAAAACCCCTGAACCAAAAGTGAATGCATAACCTGATGTGCTTTTGCAATCATCTTCACTGCCACCCCAGTCACTATCATAAAATCCAATTAGGATAGTTGACTTCCCTTTTTTATACTTGATTCCATACTCAAGTGTTCGTTGCACATATCTTAGCACTCTCTTAGCAGTCCCCATGTGTATCTTAGGTAAGATTCTGCACAAACCTTAATAGTAGACTTGCTGATAACATTAAATCAGGCATTGTTGCAATTAGGTACAATAGACTTCCAACAATACTTTTGTAGATACTAGAATCCACAGCTTCACTTCCATTATCATTCTTGAGCTTCTCATTTGCAATTAGGGGTGTATAGGCAGGTTTGCAGCCTTTCAAACCAAATTTCTCAAGCAATGTTTGAGCATACTTCTTCTGATGAATGAAGATGCTACTTGCTTCTTAAATTACCCCAATGCCAAGGAATTGATGTAAGAAGCCTAGGTCTATCATCTTATACATCTTTATCATTTCTTCCTTGAATTCTACAATCATAGCTTCATCATCTCTAATGTAGACAACATCATCTACATAGATTGATACAATGAGTGTCTTGTTATTGTTTTTTGTTTTTGGTATAGAGGGTAGCTTCACTTGGACTCTTTTGAAATCATTGCTCAGCGAAATAAGAGTCAATCTCACTGTACCAAGCCTTTGGAGCTTGCTTTAGGCCATAGATTGCATTCCTTAGCTTGTATAACTTATCTGGAAATTCTTCACTTATTCCACAAACACCTCATCTTCTAGCACTCCATTTAGAAATGTAGATTTCATATCCAGTTGGTGTAACTTCCAACCCCTTTTAGTTGCTAGGGCAATTAAGGTCCTTATAGTGTCTAACCTTGCTGATGGAGCAAAGGTTTCATTGAAGTCTACACCTAGTTTCTATGAGTAGTCTTTAGCTACTAATTCGGCCTTGTTCTTTTGCATAGAACCATCTAGGTTAGCTTGGTTTTATACACCCATTTCACTTCAATCATAGACTTGTCACGTGGTCTATTCACCAGTTCCCAAGTGTCATTCGTTTCTATCATTTGTAGCTCTTCTTTCATTGCCTTCTTCCAAGACTTATCTTTCTCAGCTTCCTTATAAGTCTCTGGTTCCACTACACAAAAGTTGCAAGTGGCATATATTTCTTCCAGGCTCCTCAATCTCACTAGAGAGCTTGGTGTT